GGGAAGAAGGAGGGAGGGAGGGAAGAGAGGGAGGGTGGATGGAGTGTTTCGTGTCTTCGTTGACGTGGGCATCGTCCGCTGACGTTGTCGTTGTCGTCCATTGATGTGGGCGTTGTCTGCTGACGTCGTCGTCGTCGTCCGCTTATGTGCTCGTTGTCCGCTGACATGGGCGTCGTCGTCCGCTGACGTCGTCGTCGTCGTCATCGTCCGTTGACATGGGCGTCGTCCGTTGACGTGGGTGTCGTCCGTTGATGTGGTGGTGGTCCGTTGACGTGGTGGTGTGTGGGTCGTCTGTTGGCGTGGCCCTCTGTTGACGTGGTGGGGCGCTGACGTGCTGTCCGTCCCTCGTTGTGGGCGTGGTGTTAGCGAGCTGGGTTGGGATGAGTTTGGGGGGGGTGCTCACCTAGGACGACGAACGACGAAATCGTCGTTCGTCGTCTGGTTGCCACGTCGCTATCAGCGACGCGGCAACGTGTTGCCGTGCTTGTTTACTAGGGTTGTTGATGTGGCGTTGAGGCGTCGTTTGCCGCGTCGTGGCCGTCGTCGTTGTCTCATCGTTGTGGCTGGTGTGCGTGGTGGTGGACGTTGGTGATGTGGTGTGTAGGCGTCGGTGATGATGGTGGTTGGAGAGAGATGTGGCATTGTTTGTTGACCGATGTTTGATTTGGGCATCAGGAATTCCGTTCCGTCTGATTCCGTGAGCATTCCTTCTGGGTGATCACCGGAACCATTCCGGCGGAATTTGAATTCCATTCAAAATTCCGTGGAATAGTTTGATCAATTTGGCAGGGCCCTCTGCCAAATTTGATTTATCCGGAATTCCAGGAATTGCCCGGATTCCGCTGGAATCCGGCAGGAATCAGTGGAGGACAATAAAGACCTCCAAATCAGGGTGAGAGGGAGCCAGAGAGTGAATTTTCGAATTAGGCTAGGTCTTGTACTTTGGTTCAAAAGTCCAATTTGAACTCTGGACAAAGTATGAGTCTGACTGATGGGTAGGATATGAAGTGTACCCAGCTCTCCATATTGTCTATCTAGGATAA